TAATGACATAATTGATAAATGTTGTGGTAGCACCTTGTTTATAGCGATATTTTCCATTGTATTAAAAAAATAATTTAACAATTTACTGTTAATCCTTAAGAGATTGTAAATGATACTTCATAGACTGTTTGAATAAAATGATGATTTTTGCTTTGTATCAGACAATTAGAAATAATGAAATAAACATTTAATATAATTGAAATAATTAGAAATAATTCAAGTATTGAAAAACCATTAATGTAATTATGCATCATTAAGTTATAATTGAATTAGCAAAATTACTTATATAATGCGAGATAATTGTAATAAAATGTTGTTTTTATTCATTTTACTAAGTACAAATTGATCAAATAATGAATTCACATAACAAATATTGATTAAAATAATTAATTAATATTTTATGAAAAAAGAATAATTTATTTGTTATAATTCTGTAATACAAATATTAGAGTAAAAACAAATATATAATTCACATTTATTTGTTTGTCATCTCAATAATTTATAGTAATAATAGTAGACTTCAAGTAGACTTAAAATCTGTAAAATAAAACATAATTATAAATAATTTAAGATTTTACAAATTTACTCTCACTTCATAGCACTTGAAATAATTAATAGTAAATAATTTCCAACACGAAAAGGCCAGTGATTTTTGTGAATATAATTTCGGTAATGAATTAAAGGATTTATAGTATTTATTTATCCCATAATTCACTGAAGGAGCCGTGAATATAACGAATAGAAATATTGAAAATAGTATCATGAACAAATAAAGCCACATCAGTTTATATATTATGCTCATTGACATAAATATGACCATCTAAATAAATAATAATTAAAAACATAATAATTAATTCTAATACAAGTGAATTATAAAATTAAATATAAGTGGTTTTGAAATCAAGCACTTGTTTAAGATAAAAACATGGAAATTATTATTATTCTGTAATTACAAAGTTGACAAGCTCTATTGTTTATCTTAGATTTATGTTTTGTATGTTAATTACCTAATTGTAATTTATTTGTGTTAATAGCTAAGAAATAATGTATAAAATATTCCTCACAGTATCTATAATTTCACGAATATTTCTACAGTCAACTGCAATCCAACAATTCTGTGATAATCCCCGAATCGATAGTGCATTCAATTATCAAAATACTATCTATTTATTCAAAGATAACTATTACTGGACTTATGACCCGAAGCACAATTCTGCTGTCAATAGGTCTCCAATCAATAGCAACTTTAAAGGTTATATTATATGTCAAATCAATTTCTACCTAATATTAATTATTTAAAAATCTAAACCCAAATAACACACAAATTCTACTTTAGGACAACAAATATTATTTTTTTAGTTGCCATTGAAATCGATAATAAGATGTCATTTGTAGCGCCCAATACTAATGTAGTGGTTCCCAATGCATGGTTTCTAATGGGTGGCAGGAATTTATCGGATTGGTTCCCACGGCATATCGACAGCGCCATTACCATCAAAGATAATGTACTCTTGTTTCATGACTCGTCCATACGTTACACACCACTCACTGATGACTGGCCAACAGGTCTCGCATTAAAAATTGGATTTTATTTTTAATATTTGACGAGTTTTTCGATAGATCTGCCGATAGATCGTAAAATAGATCAGCCGTTTGAGGGCCCACTGAAAGATGTGCAACAAATCGATGCCATATTTGAACTAAAACTGAATGAAGAGATTGTCATCATTTCCGATCTCAAGTATTGTTTGTTTGACAAAAAGCAAATTGATTTCGAAAATATTCAAAAGTTTAATATATCGGTAAGTTTTGGATACTATTGGGATGTGAATAATTAAAACTAATAGTTATTATAACTTGTAGTGTGTATGGAAGGACACTATAAAATTGTTTGGCTGCCAAAAAGTCTTTACTGTGGACACCATCACATCCATCACGTCCAACACCAACCCAACCCATGAAAATGATGGCCACAACCGAACAGTTGAAGTGAAAACAATTATCTTATTATTCGTAATAATCTTCGTTATCATGTTTCTGGTGATCGGCTCTGTGTATGCCATTGGTTTCATTATAAGGAGTCTGTCCCACAAAAGTAAGTCATTAATCATTATAATCGTTAGAATTTGTTTTGTTCTCATTTGTGAGACATATCTTAGAGAAAAAGAAAACCGATTTAACCCTAAGAAGGGAATTAAACGCCGAAATAGTATCCCTTTCACAGACAACGGAGCCATCAATTAGTTCACGAACCAAATCAAGCTCAGGGTAACTTTCAAAGACTTACAAACATTTGTAATTAACCTTAATTTAAATATAATATTGAACATAACTTATTTATTGATACTAAAATTGTAGCTTACAATCTAATTCAAACTATAAGTTTTTGAAATAAAAGTCATTACATAATATTATAATGAAAATACTCACTGTAAATTGAACGTTGAAAAAATTTAACAAAATTGTCTTAAATAATCTGTTTATATAAAATGGACATTTATTTAAAACAAAATAAACTTTTATTGATTGAAAAGTGTGTCTAATTGTAAATACATTCTATGCTTTTTGCAGAAATATGATTTGAAAATCCTATGAATAATTGAATAAAGTTTTCGTTGAAAAGATTTCCCATAATTAGAGCAACAATTCATTGACTTTTCTATGAAATGTCAGTTTAGTCACTAAACTTTAGTGATACATTATATGATTTGAAAATCCTATGAATAATTGAATAAAGTTTTCGTTGAAAAGATTTCCCATAATTAGAGCAACAATTCATTGACTTTTCTATGAAATGTCAGTTTAGTCACTAAACTTTAGTGATACATTCAAATACGTGCATAAAAACTCCCAGGATTATACCATAATTAAGATTACAAACAAGTATGTATTGAGCGCTAATACTTATTTGTTTAAAATTAATTACTTCTTTATGGCACTAATTGTTTGACATTTAAAAAAATAAAGACAATAATTTTAAACAATAACAGTTATAAATTATAACTTAAATGACTGAAAATAAATAACTTTACAGTGATTTGCATGGAATGAGAGGAAGCTTCACAAAATGATTAAATTATTAAAATATGAGTTAATATGCATTCAATTAAAGTAAACCTAAAAATTTAAGATTACAGAATTTAAAACTAAATATCAATTAGATTTGTTATACATTTCTATTACAAAATTCCCTAAATATTATTAATTATACTTATTATTATAACTATTTCTAATTATAATATACGGTATTTCTATAATAATATACAGTTTTAAATCAATGGTTAATCATTTAGAGTCTCCGAGTTTGTCCTCCAGATTCTCGACGATAGCGTCCAAGAAGTCCATTGTATATAAATAGTCACCTTCTTTGAGGCTATAAATGAAAACATAAATAAAATAAATTAATTTTTAACAAAACTAAAAGTAAGTCATACTTCTTGAGGCCATGTATACAACCGGCCAAATCCTTAGTCAGGTGCCCGTCATCTACGGTCTCAACGCACGACTTCTCGAGACGTCTGACAAACTTAGCCAAAGCCTTGTTGTTGTCGAGCTT